AAACACACAAGGGATATTTTCTCCCAATCTTCTCTATTTCTCACCGTCTTTTAAGCTCACGACTGGTTTTCTAAGCATCTCCCATTATGCGTTCAACGTCGGCTAGTAATTGGGAGGACTCTACTTGTTTCTCCTCACATTTTGAATGAGCAGCAATTGCTTCTTCCAGTCTTAGCTATACGATTGCATTCTCACCCTGAGACTCGTTTAACTGAGCCCTTAATCTACCCCTGTCAGAGGCATATGCTAAATGCCAATTAGCAAGATTCGCTCGGCAGGATAGTTCGAGTGTTGAGTCGGCTAATTGTTGTTCGGACATGTTTTCCACAACCCCTTGTTCATCGTCCGCCGGGTTAAACTTTATTTTGTGACCAAGAAGAAAGGTTGAACTCCAAATCCCGTCAGGACGTGGACGATACGAGGGGGCGGCCTTCTTCCCCTTCTTATGAGCAACTTTGTCAGCGTCTCGACCACTTTTCCTTTTCTTCTCGGTTTGGGTGGCAGTAGGAATGGTGCTAATTGGCCCAACTACAATAACAATGGGCTCGGGAGTAGGTTGAAGAAGTGTCAGAGTTGGTTCAGGAATAGGTTGACGAGTTGTCAGAATTGGCTCAAGGGTCGGTGCACGAGTTGTCATAGCCCTTGTAGCCACTCCAGGATTTTGATAGGGTGTGGCTGTTCAGCTTGGAACTACAGGGGTACAAGAAGAACTCGGTTGCTATTGTGATGATTCCCCTAGTCCAAATTTATCTGCTACAGATTTAAACCAATTCTTCTTTGGTTTTTGAGCTGCCATCATGCCTGAAAAATAACATGAAATTTAGACCAATCTTGAACATGTCAAAAGTAAAATACCAAAAAGACAAATCATACCGAACACCTCAGCACTGAGGTCATCCCATCCAAGGCAATTTATCAGTTTTCGGGAAGGGAGATGGCGAGGCAGGTTGTCAAGGGCCTTCAACCATGACGCCACCATAGATCAAAGCCCTTTCGCCACTAAGCATTATTTCTTTAATGTCTTCTGGCCCACTGGGTTTGGTGCTGGAAGGTAACGACTGGGACGCTACCGCAGGTGACGCGCCACCCTCGATGCCTTGCCTCCCCCTTCCCATTGACTCTTCAGAAGACGATAAGTTTACAGTTTTCATTCTTACCTTGTGTTATGAAGACCCAACGCTATGCTCTGAAATTATCACTGTAAAGTGAAAAATTGTACTGGTCTTACCATATTTATTCGGAGTAAATTGCGGGCTGGCAAACGACAAGGGTCGTAGGATGAAGATTGATCTACCGGACTTGGTTGGCAGACACTGCAACTTCCAACAGTGCGGGAAAATAAAATGCTCATCTAAGGATGTATAACCTAGATCCAACGGTGCAAAATTCTTTTAATTGTTGTTTCGCTAGACGCATGAATAGGTATATTTTTTGCATGATAACTGCAGTAACGGTTACAAGGTTGTCTCAAGTGAGGTTCAATACATAAGCCTATTATAAGTCCTATTGTTAACTATGGTTAGCTCGGACTTGGGGGGCATATGTATGGTATGGTGTCTGATCCGATCGGTTAACAAGGTAATAAGTCAGCGCCAATGACAAACGTGATGTATTAGCCGAACGGTATATGGTCAAGGCCGTTCGGTGTATTCCTTAAGTTAATATGTAAGCAGGTGAATTGGGCCTGTGAGTGTTGGGCTATAATTGGGTCAGTGCGAATATTAGTATTATTGGGCCAACATCAATGTAAGGTCCACAAAATATCTATGTTATTGGGCTAACATCAATTTAGGGTCCAAAAAATACCTATAAATATAAGGGTAAGTTATAGAGGTAAGGGTAGCTTAATTGAATTCTGATACTTAATTGTGAATTAAGTTCATTGAGTAAAATCTGACTTGACCGTCGAAGTGCCTTTAGCAGATACCCACTGCTCGGTTTGGACTCGAAGAGCTTGGAGAAAGTGACTTAGGAGCAAGAAAGAATGGAAGGTGATAGCAGAAAGGTGTGTTTCTCGGCCCTATCCATTTAGATACTGAAACATATATATATATATATATATATATATATTATATAAATTTCATAAATTTTGTAGGATTTTATAATCTTGAGTAAGATATGATTTTGACTACGTTGGACATGACTCACAAGACAGATTTTAACATGGAAAGACTGGGCTTTAACTGTTTCAATTTTTCAAAGACTTGGATTTCCTGAGTAAGCATGAATTGGGGGTGGGGATCTACTACCGTTGATCCAAAAAGAGAAGGCTTGATCAAGTGACAGAGGCCATGAGAGTCTGTTAGGTTCCTTTATGCAAGGAACCGAACCGTAGCAAAAATACTCACACACACACTCAACAGTATAAAGAAATATGCATGTATTTGTATTTCTATTTCCTATGTAATGTGTAGAAAAGATGAATACAGGTGTCTATCTCTCCCCCAAGGAAGCCTCCCTTCCTCCACTGGCCAAGAGGTCCAGTCTCAATTCCAAAATAATATTCGATTCCCTCTCTCCTTAATCTGTTTGTTATTTATATTCCCTCTCTCTCTTCTAACCAACTAACCACCGTCTCCCACTACTTATTTCATCCCTTTTTTACCCCTTCTCACGTAAACCTTTAATTGCCTAACAGACTCACATCCAAAGCAAATCATTTGTTCCATCCTCCAATTCCGCAAGGAAATAGAATCTTTAGTAAGAGAAATGACACAATTAGGAGACCTTGTAAGTTTAATAATCGACAATAGATTAAAAGGAGCCCTAAGGATGTAAAGAACATTATGAATAGTAAGAGAATGCATAGGATGGACAATATCAATATCTAGGACTGTGTTTAAGAACCATTTGCCAAGGCAAAAATCAAGAAATAGAAAGAGAAGAAAAAATATATTTATTACCAGATATATGATCAATGGCTCCAAAATGAAGGATCTAGAGCCCAGAGAGTAAAAGACGTTAATGACAGAATTATTGGGGTGTGTAACAGAAGCAGTGGAACAAAAGGCTTGACAATCCCCATACCGTCATAGGAAATCATTGAAGATTGTTGATGGCATGTTGTGACGGGAGCAGATTATGGAGCAACAAACTGTGCAAGAGGATCGGTAGAAGCAAAGTACACCACTGTAGTTATTTTAGAGGGTCGATAATGCAGAGCATAATAGTAATCAATGTTGTGACAATGGTCACACTTCAGTCTTGTCCCATTACTTTTACTCTGTTTTCTTTACATGATAACACAGTAGTATTGTTTTTCTCGATTACTCTCTATACAATTCTAACATGGCCACTTTTTTATTCGGTTGTCTAACACAACCCTTACTTATTCTGACTTCGGACAGTTATATTTGTAATGAACCACGGTATTGAGTTAGCTTTCACAAATAAAAGCAAAATTAAGAAAAATTATTACCATTATCAGTACAGAGCCGAGGAGGAGGGCATAAAAGTTGCAGGCCATTCTTCTTCGCAACCATATCAAGTCGGGCCCTTACATATTGATTTGATGCAACACCACCAGAGACAACCTAAAACAAAAAAGACAGGTCATTTGGATTTTTAGTACAAAGGAGGACTGATGTTATTAGACCTGGCAACATTTAAATTCCAAACTACCAAGTGTCTTATAGAAGGCTCCATCTTCAATGCCCACTGTATTGCTCGTTCACACCTTTCTTCAAGATGTAACACAGCAGTTCGCTGCTTAACATTGTGAAAATGGAATACATAATAGTTATATAACACATGCTAAAAAATATGGGTTAAAGGTGAATAAAAAAGATGAGGAAATCTAATCGGAGTGCATTAAATAGACTTGAAAGTATAACAAACCTGAAAAGAAGCAGCAATATCAGCCCGTGACATTCTATCTTCCTCACTTGCAGAAGAGATTGGAATTTTGGCATCACTGTCAATTTTTCATATTCATACACTCGTGAGCAGGCAAAAATAAAAATAAAAAAGTGTCAGCATAATTTAATTTTACCAATGCATCACAAAAATACTTCTTGCATTATACATTGCACTTTGCAAGATCAGTCAATTAGTTATCCTGTAGGTGAATGCTACATCTACAAGAATAGAATACTTGAGAATTAAACTGTAAAATAATTCTAGAGGGTCTTGATCTCTCTCATAATCTTCTATTTATAAGAATAAATTGATACAAGAGTACATGATAAATAGGATAACCCTAGACACAATATAATCATGATAAATAGGATAACCCTAAACACAATATAATCATGATAAATAGAGTAACCCTTGACACAATATAATCATGATAAATAGGGTAACTGATAGGATATAAGGTAATAGATAATGTCAGGGGTTGGAAGGTATACGAGAGACGAAGAAAGTATATGAGAGAAGAAGAAGGGCACCGAACGGTGGAAGGCGGGGAGAGGTCGAACCGAACGGTGAAAGGACGCTGGATCATTGGGAGAGACGCGTGATGGAAGGAAGAATGAAGGCTTTGGAGGGAAGGGTGGATGGAAGAATCAATGCCCCGGAGAGAAGGATGGATTCTGTGAAGAGGTGGGCCAGCAAACAGAAAAGGGGGCTTGCAATTCTTGATACACCTGCAGAGGGGAGAGAGCTGTTTGAAGTATGGAAAGACCTCGAAGACCATTTTCTCAAGGCCTACGATTTTGGAAAAAAGGTGATCAGAATGTTGGAAGCTAATAAGATCCAGGAAGAATGGGAGTCATTGGAGGAGGAATTGCCACCACCCAAGCCTCCAGACCTGAATTGGAGGGCTGTAGCCAGTGGGTCCCCTTCATATGATAACACGAGGATGAAGAGGAGCCATGAGATCAAGCTTCCCGGTTCCAACCTTGAGGACAAGGTTGTTCTGCAGCAGGATGTAATGATAGGATATAAGGTAATAGATAATGTTAGGGGTTGGAAGGTATACGAGAGAAGAAGAAAGTATATGAGAGAAGAAGAAGGGCACCGAACGGTGGAAGCCAGGGAGAGGTCGAGCCGAACAACTGAAGGCGGTGAGGGCTCGAGCTGAACGGTGGAAAGAGGTGAAGAATTGGAGCCGATCGATTGAAGAGTTACTATCCTAACTGTTGTAGCAGTTAGGATGGGCGGGAAATATTTATAGTAAATAGAGCTATATTATAGGAAAATATTCATTATAAGATATTTATAGTAAATAAAGCTATATTACAGGGAAACATTCAATATAAGATATTTATAGTAAATAGAGCTATATTCTAGGAAAATATTCAGTATAAGATAGGCGAGAAATATTTAATATAAATAGAGCTAGATTTTATTGTTAGGGTTATGCTTTTGATTATTGAAGTTGTTAACTGGCGGCTACAGTCCTGTAAGGGAGGTTATACTCCCAACTATCCTTGTTTAGAGAATTCTATTACCATTAATAAGAGAAATTCATTCTTTCAATATCTTTTCAGCCTACTATGATCATGGTTAATTAGGTTTCCTACTCAGTAACCCTTGACACAATATAATGATGATAAAATAGGATAAATATCCTAACAAGAATATTAGTAGTAATCTCACACTGAGAAAAAATAAAAGATAACACTGAACAGAATGTGGTAATCAGACATTTCTTCAATGCAGAATGATTTTTACATTAAATTAAATTTGTGCTGACAAAAATAAAAGGATAACATTGAACAGAACATGGTCATCAGACATTTCTTCAATACAGAACTTTTTATGTTGAATTAAATTTGCGCTACTAACCACATTAGACAATTAAAGTTGATAAGATATGGGATACACAGTCCATCAAGTTACAGCACTGTTCCATGTATTTATTTAAAAAGTAACAAATCTATTAATAAACAACTTAAAATATTTACTTACATCTTTTTGGACTCAATTGCCAGCCGTACTTGGGTTTTAAGACCAGCGTAGGAGAAGTTGCAATCTTTATGCTGCTTCATTGGAATCTAGAATGACAAAGTAATAAACTTAAATTTCCACTGGAAGGAGGACATCCGCCAAAGCAACGTCAGAAGAGATTGATATTCAACCTAAGACAACGATCACAAGCTAGGGGAGGGTAGAGGGGTATAAGATTGTGCAGCTAACTTACAGAAAATTTGACTGATTCAGCATTTCCCTCCATAGCAAGCTTCTCAATAGCAGGACCACCACTTCTCCTCAAATCTAGTCCAAGCCATTTTGCTGTTTTGTCATATGCCTCACCAATAGCATCATCTATTGTAGTTCCAAGTTGTATGTATTGTCCAAGATCACGTGCAAGAATGAGTAAATTGTGCCCCCCTATAAATATAGATCACACAAGTTAGCCTAGTGTAATTATACCTAAAGAATATACATACAGTCAGCAATAGCTGTATCAAATCACAGTTTTGCAACTGGACTAGTCAGCAACTACACCACAAGAATCATCCCCGTAAATGACATTTATCACAATGTGAGAGTAACAAACAAAGCAGATATGAAATGGGAGTGTAAGAACAACAAATGTATGAAAATGTTGGAAAAGTGTGAAAAAGAGATAATAGAAGTGGACAGAGAAAATGAGAGAGTTGAAAGGCATGAGTTATGAGAATTAATGTGTTCCATTCTCTGATAACCACACAGACGAGTCTACATGTTTATTGTGAGAGTCAGTTACAGTCATCATTATCATTGTATTTTAGTAGTTTGGAACAGCTGTCACTGTCAGGTTGTAACTCAACTTTACAAAACAAATTTGATAAAACAAGATTTGCTGTTAGGTTTCTGGGAAAAGAAACCTCTAGAACACTCTCACAAACACAATCGCAAGAAGCAAAACAGAAAGTATATGGGTTTGTATTAACCAAAGAATCAATGTACAAGTAAATCGTTCTATGAGAGCTTAACCTCCCTCCTCAGACCAAAGCTTGTTTTTACAAAGAATTCACTCAATGATCCTAGACAGAGTTACAGGAGCTCTATTTATAGCGGTTCTGACCCTCTCCCCCTTACAACCGAAATCTTCCCCAAATTGAGACACCACCTTTCCATTGTTCAACCATTCAACCGATCGTTTCCTTCCCCCCAACGCCCTAACCGATCGGTTCCTTTCCCCCAACGCACTAATCGTTTGGTCCTTCACCCCCACTCCCTTAACCGCACCGTTTGGTACTTTCCTTCTCCTCTTGTACACTTTCTAACCCCTATCATTTGCACTCACTTATATATTATAATTTGGTTACATAATCAACTAAATATTGTGAGTGTGGGAATAGAGGGATGCCCAATAGCAAATATCATGAAGGATCAACAAACTTTTGCTAAGACAAGCTTTGATACCATCTTAGAAAGCGAGCCTAAAGTATAACTCAACTTCACAAATCTAGCTTGCATCTACTTATATATAATAATTTGGTGATATTTTTAGTTGATGTGAAATCTCCAACACACTCCCTCACACTTAAGATTAAATATTTCAAATGTGAGACTAGATATTTGTGAATGGTTTGATAGCAACCTGATAATTGGTGGTAGTACCGTAGGCTTAACAAACCTCGTTAGGATAAACTTTGATATCATCTTAAAAGTTGGACTTTAAATCTAATTCAACCTTGCAAAACAACTTGTAAGGTGAAATTTATACTTGTATATTGTAATTTTTGTCATATCTCTAGTTGATATGAAATCTTCAATAAAAGTGACTAACTATATGATAGAGGGAGTGATATACTAACATTTATAAACGGTGTATAGATATCAAAATTTCAGTTGTACAGCTGCTCAGATATGTCAAACTATATCGGAGCAACTGACTCAGTAACAGAATCTACTATGGTTAAAAGCTCTAAATAATGAGGGTAGAAAACAAAATTATCTAACCGTAGTTATTTACTAACAAGTATACATAACATAGTTATTTAAAAATAATTGGAAAGAATGAAGAATACAAGTGGAAGACATGTTCCTTTGTATGAAAAGATAAGGACAAGGAGATTACAAAATAATTGGAATTCAACAATATATTTAGGGGTAGATTGTGAATCTGCACAATCCACACAATATGTCTATATATTGATTCTGGAATGAATAGGAGTGGTTCAATCCTAATCATATGATACATAATCCCTACTTAGTTCCTAAGATGTTACTAATTGATTCTACCATATATACACACAATTGTATGATATACTACCACAAATGTCTAACATACATCACAAAAATCCATGATCATGGAACGTCTAAAGCACATGTATATCAATAGCATTTCCTTGCCAAATATCTTGGTCACATCTTATGTGCATTTCTTATGCAATTCATCAAATTTTCCTGGCAAAGCTTGACTAAAGGTATTCATCATCATAGCAAAAACAAAATCAAGTGTCAACCTGCAAACTACTCATGTTCAAATCACAAAAGCACTAAAAATTTCCCCAGCCTAATTTATTTATACCCCATGGACCTAATTACCCATGCTGCCATGCCATAGATTCCAATTTCCTTGAAACCCAAACAATAACAAGAAACAACTATTCCATGGTCCAAGAAAGAAAAATAGACAGACCTGAGTAAGAAAAATTCTAGAATACTAAAACCCAAAACATGAGTATTACCTGAAATAAGTAGGACCGTGAAAGGAAACTGCAAATCTTTCTCAATTAACCTAAAACAAAAATGTCACGTATGACTCAACAGAAAGTGTAATTTCCTATGGAACACTAAAAGAAATTGTAGAAGCATAAAAACACACAATAACTAAAGGTGTGTTCGCTTGTGTTTTGGTTCTTAAGTTTGAAAATCTAATTTATAATAGGGTTAAGTATGTTTTCAGTCCCTAAACTTTAACGTGAAATTAGAATTTGTTCCTGTCCGAAACTTTGATACATTTTAGTCCTCAAACTTTAAAAGTGAATGGATATATGAAAGTATCAAAGTTTCAAACAGGAACGAATTCCAATTTCGCATCAAAATTCAGGGACTAAAAACATAGTTAACCCTGTTAGAATATTTACCCTATTTATCATGATTATATTATGTCTAGGGTTACCCTATTTATCATGATTTATATTGTGTTTAGGATTATCCTATTTATCATGATTATATTGTGTATAGGTTACCCTATTCTAGCTTACCCTATCATGATTATATTGTGTCTAAGGTTACCCTAATTATCATGTACTCTTGTATGAATTTATTTTTATAAATAGAAGATTATGAGAGGGATCAAGCCCTCTAGAATTATTTTACAGTTTCAATCTCAAGTAACCCTTTATAATATAAAACTGATTTTCAGAAAATAAAAGAGACAGAAGGAAATATGAAAGCATAAGGAAAAACATGTGTAATATAAAACAAAAACTTAAGAGATTTTTTTATTTTCTGATTCCAAAACAAAGGTATATATTATTTTTTTTTCTAAATTGACTATTATCAAACAAGTGTTTCTTGTTTCTCTATTTTTAAGACCTTAAGGTATCCATTTCAAATATTAATAGCAGGTCTCAACATCTATCTATTAGGCAAAAGATTACATATTCATTAGAGAACTATCGCTTTACCTGGCCACCAGAGCATGAGCCTCCATGTGATGTATGCCAATAATTGGTAAACTAAATCTGCCAGCAATTCTACGGGCTTTCTGAACCCCCACTGCATTGTACAAGCAAATACTGAGGAATCTATAATGAATATTAAGAATTCTTCTAAAGGATATGAATGATAAGAAAATAAAATGAAATCATGGATAATTACGACTGAGATATGCCTTCCAATAAATTACTTGAAGTCAAAAACAGACATTCATATATCATGCCTACAGTTTGAACATTCTATTTTTAATATCTGAGACTAAGCTTGACGTATTTCATTGTATTTTGAGGTACAGTTGCCCAAATTACAAAATGAGACACTGCCAATAGTTTCATACTGTCTACAAGAAAATTGGGGGAGGGGGAGACAAACTTACTGTCAATTTTCATGCAAATACTTTGTGGTGCTTTTACCTAAAATAGTGGTTTTATAGCATAAGAAGCTAAGTTGGAGAATCAGAAAGCTACAACTTGAATTGATATTTTAATTTTCGACCAGATAAGTTTAGTTAAATAGCATCTCCACCAAGCGACACATACATTAGTGTTTCTTCACAATTAATGTCCATACCTTTTAACAGGCATTATGTTGCTGATGCTGAAATTACATGATATCATGTGCTGTTGGTAATTAGACTATTTAATTTATTATTGAAAGATTAGAGTCAAAGGAGGTAGTCTATTTTTTATTCTCATTCTAGTAAATGTAAAACGTATTTATTCTTCTAAATATAACTATTAAGTCTCTAGATGATGAGTATTCTTACTCGAAATTCACTCACTGAACTTCTGACTAATTTTTGCAATTCCATTCTTAAAGTTTCTTAAGATTATGCATTACCACGAAGACAGAGACTCAATCCAGGACCAATAGTAACAGCAACAGCAGTGAGATCTTTCTCAGTCATATAAGCTTTATCAAGGGCTTCTTGCACAACCTATCCAAAGGTTATGCCCATGTCAGTAATCATATAGAAAGGGAAAAAGAGGGATAAAGAGAGGCAATGAAAAACATATAAGAAGTCATATTAAACATTTATTTGAAAACCTGGTGGCACTATCCAAAGATCATTCTAGAGCACCCCAAGTAAGTCAGAATTACTTACATTCCACCACGGTTATGTTTTAAGGAATTCCACTAGCAACCTAGACAATCACTAGGAAGATGTATAATTGAAGCCTAATATGCAAGAAATATTGTAAATGTGCATAAATGAGTAAACTTACAAAAGCGGTCTACAAGAGGTGTGTGTGTGCAGACACTATCAAAAGCTTCACCAAAAATGAATATGTGAAAATACTCAGGACATAAATAGTGTGCCCTATGTGTTCTAGCCGCTGGGATATATTACGAACTGAACGGGAATGATGTACCCGGTCTATAGCTTGTGAGTGAGCTTCTTCTGCCATTTTTGGAGCAACTCCTCCATACTTTGCAAGCAGATCTGCCTTAATTTGGAGAAGTTACATAGTTAGAAAGAAAAAAGAATAAATAGAAAATTAAGTCACTGATAGGAATAAACCTTTTAGGACAAAGGAAAAGAAGCACCATTTTGGTGGCAGGAATCATTATCACCGCCTAATCTTGGATGTAAGGATAAATTCAGTCTAAAGAAATCTGATTATTTTCTTTGTTTAAACTTTTCATTTTTTAGAAGATATAAGGTGATATTCTTTCGTAATTAGCACATATAGTAGAACGATAAAAGATTACATCAGATGTTTTACAAGAATAAATTCTATACTTTTTTATTCAAATACAAAAGTGATCAAACATTTAACATTAATGATTGCATGAAGAAACAAGTGAAAACCACATGACAACAACATTTCTAAAACTATCCAATAGAGGATACAACTTAAGCATTTTTCATGTTCCATAAAATCAAGTGCTTCATAAAAAACATGATACTTAGACCGTTGGTGGTAATTCATTAGGCAGAACGTGCAAACACAGCAGATCAACACCCTCTGTGCTTACATCTCATAATGATAAATAAACTTTCGAGAAGCAGCAAAATCAATTTAACAAAACTTAGTTCTTAATTCTAGTTTAGACAACAATGAAAATTACCTCTGCAATATTCTTATGTGGATTCTTTTGACTAGGTCATTATTACATCATAGTATGCTGCCCTAGGATATCCCTCTTAAGTTTTTCTTCTGGCCTGGGTTAGGCGTGGCATTAGCACATTCAGATAACACTCCCACCCACCTATCAGATATTTAAGCTGAAGCGGAATGCATTAAACCACAATTTTCAGTATAACCAATATGCCTCATGAAAATGTTTGCTGCAATCTCACCACACCAAAATAAATTCTATCAATCACTAACCAAGTACCAGTTTGTTTGAGATTTCTTAAGGGAAATTTCTTTTAATAAGATATTTGAACTAACTTTTAACAAGAGACAAAAAGCACGAAGGCGCACAAACACAAATTGTCGTTGAAGAAGAAAAAACCGGACACCAAAAAAGTATATGGAACCAATTACAACTTTTGCGTGTTCTTTTCAATTTATTTTTCATACAATAATTGTTTATATCATTTCAAAAACCCTATTCAAGAACTCGCTAAAGAGAACTACTAATTTATTTATCTTTTAAATAAGCCAATCCAAATTCACACAAATCCACCATCAACATTCCAACTCGAACAAAAGAGTACGTAGAATAAAATCAAGCATCAATCTCAACAATATTTACATATTCTTACACCGGGCTAACACAGCAAGAAAGGGAATTCAGCAAATATAACACAATTATAAGACACCGTACCTGAGATGACACCACTTGGCTCAGAATCTCACCGTCACTTCTCACCTATACCACACACACAAACCATTAAACGACAAACGAAACCGTCACACGGAAAATAGTTAACGAAAGGCAAACGCGGATTACATACGACAGCCGCGGCGGTGTCGTCGCAGCTAGTTTCGATGCCCAAAACGACGACATCGGCGTGGCGTTTCGAAGAGGATGATATTGCGCTGGAAGAAGTCGTAAACGGCGATTTGAGTGGAAGTTGGTTTCTACGGAGATTGGTGAGTGCGGAGAAAAGCGAAGGTGGATTTAGTAAGAGCTTTATACGCGAAAGTGTTAATGGAGACGCCATAGTAACGAGAGAGAGTGGCATTTTTGCAGAGAGTGTGGAGAAGGAAAGAAGAGAACACTTTGTCCCTGGGGGAAGCACTCCAAACATTTAACCGAATCTCCATTGTACACGTGGCGTTCAAAATTTAACAGATAAATAATTTCTCAAATCATCCCATATGGTTTATTTTATTTTAATTAGGTTTTATAATGTCATGTCACCTAATTTTTAATATCACTTTCGTATTTTTATTTACTCTTCAATGCACATAGAATTTTTAGAAGAATTTTAATTTCAAGAACTTAACTAGAACAACTGTATATGGTATGTATATTATAAAATAAATTTGATTTAACGAATATATTTTAAATAATCATGCTATTGAAACAAATTGGTTATTTTAGGGTTTTCTTGTACACTTGTCTGATGTTCAAATGTTCTTTCATAAATTCTAATGTTCTCTCGTAGTATCTAAATGATGAATTTGGTGGTTTGTTTTTTTAGAGGATTAATTAGTAATTTAGTTTATATTAAACTATATTTTACTTTAGTCTTTATTTTTTATTCAATTAATTTTAATATTTTTTTATATAGAGTTAATTTGGTTCATTATCTTCAATTGACGTTAACATGTTTAAAAATATTACGTTTTAAAATCTAGAAAGTATCATATAACAAATTAGAAAATCACAAGATAAAAAATATTCAAATTTTAACACATATCAAATAGATTTAACCTAATTTAACATAATAAATTAAATTAATTTTATTTAAAAAATATTGGGACTCAAAATTATGTATATTCAAAATAAATCATAAATTTAAATATGTGGACCAATTATTAATTAAATCTTTAAAAAAAATATCGCGGAAGTTTTTAGATTTTTATTTATAGAGAAGTTTGAAATAGTGATTCATTCTACAATGTTTAAAGTCTTCTCAAGGGCCATCACTTATTCCATTCTACCAAGTCTTCTCATCATATCCTCTTATTGGTGACTTGAAACCATGAGAGATTCATCTAAGGTGTTGTTTATGTGTAATATGTTTTAAGTATTTCTACACTTATATAACTATTATGATTTTGTAACTTATTTCTTTTAGACAAATTATTACATAGAGAAGTATTACTGATAAGATTCTATTTTTGAATTTGAAATTTTAAAAGATACAACAAAAATAAATCATAAAAGAATACAAATTAAGAAAGGGATGAGAACGCCACAATCTAACATATAAGTCAAGTGAAGATTCTCACAAATATATTAATCTTTGATAAGAATAGAATTCTAATCCAAGAACTCAGAGAATCATGTCCCAACAAAAGTAAATGCATATAATATGACTCAAAATATTTATATAAGATTTTGGTACTTCTGTATATAAGCACATTAGTTTAAGAAAAAATAGAAACCTTAGAATAAAACTCAAAGCTCAAAACACATAAAGATAATGGAAAACAAGAATTATAGATGCAAACTTTTGCCTAGCGAAGCTTGTTCACCCAACAAATACAAATATGATTCGCCCAACGAATTTAACATTATGTAAAATTAAAATAAAATTACAATTTATTTAATTTTCTAAATTATTCTTCAATTGTGCTCATGAAATTTAAGTTTCCTCCTTCATGGAAACTTATAAGATTTAAGGAGATATGTTTTGATCTTTGACCATGTTATAGATCCTTAATTACAAATGATCACCGTTAAGTTCTTCTTATGTATGTTCAGGAGATAATCCTCTATCATATCGTCCTTCTTGGAGATAATTTGTCCTCAAATTCATACCACTTGAAAACTACTTATCATTCTCTCCTATTTGGAGAGAATTCAACTCGAATTTTAGAAGATCCTAAGCATAAACACAAACATAAATCAAAGCCACAAATCTAAAATAATAAAAAATAGAAATTCTACTAATAGATTATCAAACACATGTTCTTTGAGTTCTAAGCTTGTGTCTTCCTTTTATGTCATCCTGTCTTCCTCCATTGTTGATGTCATGGTTCCTTAATAAATGAATCTTTCCTAGGCAACAAAACAAAAAGAGACCAATTAGTATTTTCTTTTAATGAAAAATTAGGAGGCTCTTTTTTTCTCTCTTTTTGTTTTTTTCATTTTTTTTTATTGTTTTCTTTTTGCTCTCTTTCTTTTTTTTATGCTCTCTTTCTCTATTTTCTTTCTCCTCTTTGACTTTCTTTTCTTTCTCTTCCTTTTCTCTTTTTTCTCTTTCTTCGCCCTTCCTCTTTTCTTTCTCTTCTTTTAATCTATTTTCTCTTTCTTCTTTTTCTATTAATGCTTCTTTCTCTTGTCCTTTTTTAAGCTTCCACTTTTTTCTTCTTTTCAATGCATCTAATTTTTTCAAAGTCCTTTATTCCTCCTCTTTCAAATATAGAATGTAGTTATTGAGGTTTTCATTAGTAGTCATGGGACTTGCATTCCAATTAGGATACTGTTGAGTTTTATGCATATAACCTTCATATTTGGTTTGGAGTCTGGGTTGGTTTGTAGTTATTGAGTTTTATTCCAATCAGGGGGAGTCTGGGTTGGTTTGTAAATTACATTGTTCCCTCTATGGCTTGAAGCAATCACCTCGAGCTTGGTTTGGAAAATTTAGTCGGGTTGTGTAGAATTTTGGATTGAAACGATGTGAGACAGATCATTAAGTATTTTATGGTCACTCTTCTCTTGATAAATGTGTTTATCTAATGGTTTATATTGATGATATTGTTATTACAAAAAATGACATCACTAAAATTGCTCAATTAAAGAATCATTTGTTCAACCACTTTCAGACCAAAGATCTGGGTCAGCTAAAATATTTCCTTGGTATTGAAGTGGCACAATCAAAGGAAGGTGTCATCATTTCACAAAGAAAATGTGCTCTTGCTATTTTGGAGGAAACATGCCTGACAAATTGCAAGCCCGTTGATAGTCCTATGACTCAAATCAAAAGTTAATGAGAGACCAAGGTGAACTTTTCTCAAACCTAGAGAGATCTAGAAGGCTTGTTGGAAAACTCATCTATCTTACCATAACAAGACCTAATCTTTCTTATCCGTAGGAGTTGAGTCAATTTATGCAAAATCCACATGTTGATGATTGGAATGCAGTGATTCGCATTCTTAGATAGGTGAAAGGGAACCTAGGATAATGATTGTTGTATGAGGACAAGAGAAACATTGAGTTGAAGGATATTGTGATTGTTGGGTTTCTACTCACGAAACCTCTACGATCAATCACAACTCATACCCAAACGCACACAGAAACCAATGAATAAATTCTTCTTGTATTAACAGAGCAAGAATGCAATGTACAGAGAAAACAATGAGAGTCTAACCTCCCCCACACGATTAACAATTCCTGTTAGAAACCTCAACAACCAAAAGTCCCCCCAATAACTAAACAAATGCTATTTATACACTCTTATTCCCACCTTTCCTAACTGCTAAGGCAGTTAGGCAATTAATGTTTATTCCTTCTCTCGTACACTCTCCAAGTCCTAACATTACCCTCCGCTCCTTCAACAACCTTGTCCTCAAGGTTGAACTCGGGATATTGGTCCTCGATAGTGCTCCTGTCCTCCCAGGTTGCACCCTCACTCCCTCCGTCTTGCCATTCCACCAATACTTATTGTACCATCTCTTCTCCCTGCTGCACTTGCCTGCTTTCCAGGATTCGAATTGGCCTGAAAGTAGGTCCTTCTACTTGCAACTAAGGTGGCATATCCTTCTCCATCTTCTTTTTGCCCACTGCCTTCTTGAGTTGGGATACATAGAAGACTAGGTGTATCTTAGCTATTTCGGGTAGCCTGAGCCTATACGCCACCTCTCCCACCTGCTGCACCACTTGAAAAGGGCCAAAGTAACGAGCTGATAACTTCGGATGGAATCGTGAGGGCATAGAAGCCTGCCCGTGGGGTCGAATCGTCAAGTAAACCCACTCTTCTACCTTTATGTCTGTTGGACGCCTCTTTTTGTTTGCCTAATGAATCATTAAATCCTGAACTCGGTTGAAATGGAATTTCAGCTGTTTGAGGGCTTCATCCCTTGTCAATAAATCCTGGGCAACCGGCTCTACTAGTATCTCCATTGGCACGAACCTGCTAAGGAAAGGCGGAGCCCTCCCATATACCGTCTCAAACGGGGTGCATCTAGCTGCACCCTGATAATTGGTATTATACCAGTATTCAACCCAAGGAAGCATAACACTCCAGCTTCTTGGCTGTTCAGAACAAAAACACCGTAAATAGCCCTCCAAAACTCTGTTTATTACCTCGGTTTGGCCATCTGACTCAGGTTGATATGTCGTGCTCATCCTGAGTTGGGTTCCCTGTAATCGAAACAATTCCTTCCAAAAAATGTTGAAGAACAAAGGATCCCTGTCACTAACAATGGAAATGGGAATCCCATGTAGCCTTACTATCTCCTTCACAAACACCCCCGCTACTGCCTTGGTTGAATAAGGACGCTTGAGCAGCACAAAATGGCCATACTTGGTCAACCGATCAACTACTTCGAGAACTGCATCGTAACCTTGGGATGAGGGACCAAAGAGACGCTCCGAACTACTTCCGCTTGAGGTTGGTCGTAGATGAACCCACCAAATATAATTAGTATCTCAAAAAGCAGCCGCTAGAGCTATTCACTATAGGTATTACAGAAGAAGCTATAAGAGAGGAGCGGAGCAGCTCGACCAGAGGGAGAGGAGTGAAGTAGCCTTACTCAACCGAAAAAAAGAATAGTCTTCAGCGATTCTTTCTTTAAAGGAAAGCGCAGATCGAGCCTTGTCGAAGATAAGGGACTCGACTTCCCCTGCCTTATTAAGTTAAGGACTCCCAATTACCTAGCGGAAGAAAAGGGCAAGGACCTCTTAAGAAATATGTCTAGGTCACTTCCAACAACAACTAAAGTTATTTCTTACTGGTGTGGTGATGAGTCAATATTTTCTCAATTTCACTTAGTTTTGTAACCAGATTTAATCAGGGAATTGTGCTAAAATGTCGGTATTTTTCCATTTTGTAATGTGCTTAATTTGACCAAAAATTCTTATTTTAATTAATTTGAATTATTTGAGCTAATTATTTGCA